ATGTTACATGCTCTACTAAAATCAATGTGGTTAATATAATGAGTGACTTTATGAGTTACCTCCTCCAACTACCATATCTGCATCTTAACTATTATAACCTTCTAATCCCACAATTCACAATGCACAGCAGCGTATCAAAACTGCAGTTAGAAAAAAAAAAAAAGACAAACTCCCATTTAACTGGCTTATATGAGCATAATCCAAACTAATTTGTACATGAAATCCTGTTTGCTCCTAATTGCTCTTAACATCTTTGGGAAGTGTATATGCTTGAGGAATGTTTGGGGTTTCTATTTTGTTTTTTAGCAAAAGTCATGAATCAAAAGATGAAATTAAGGGAGATATTACAGGTAAACTAGGAATTTGGGGATGGAGTATTTCCCATCTCCCTGTATAAGGCACTACAAGACGCTAGACAGTACTTGGAAGCCATTGAAAATACTAAGATACCTGATTTTAAAAAATACTAAGATAGGGGCGCCTGGGTGGCTCAGATGGTTAAGTGTCTGCCTTCGGCTCAGGTCATGATCCCAGGGTCCTGGGATCGAGCCCCGCATCAGGCTCCCTGCTCCACAGGAAGCCTGCTTCTCCCTCTTCCACTCCCCCTGCTTGTGTTACCTCTCTGGCTGTGTCTCTCTCTGTCAAATAAATAAAATCTTTTAAAAGAAAAAAAAATTAATTTGTGATATCAGTAACAAATATGCCAACCTATAAAGGAGTAGAGCTTTCATCTGCAATTGAAGTTGGTATCAATTTAAAATAGATTGTTATAGCGGTCCCTGGACGCTCTCCCGGCCGAGCGCTCTGAGCCCAGTGCCCAGCCATGGCGTGCCCCCTGGATCAGGCCATTGGCCTCCTCGTGGCCATCTTCCATAAATACTCGGGCAGGGAAGGTGACAAGAACACTCTGAGCAAGAAGGAGCTGAAGGAGCTGATCCAGAAAGAGCTCACCATTGGTGCGAAGCTGCAGGATGCTGACATTGCAAAGCTGATGGACGACCTGGACCGGAACAAGGACCAGGTGGTGAACTTCCAGGAATATGTCACCTTCCTGGGAGCCTTGGCTTTGATCTACAATGATACCCTCAAGGGCTGAAAATAAATCAGGAAGGTGGAGACACCCTCCATCGGGCCTGCCTAAGTCAGCTCCAGTGGTGGGTAACTGTTCAATAAATATCTTTTTTTGGTCAAAAAAATAAATAAATAAATAATAAAAATAAAATAGATTGTTATAACTTTAGGATATTATATGTAATCCCCATGGTAATTACAAAGAAAACTATAGAATACACAAAAGGAAATGAGAAGGGAATCAAAACATGTCCTTGCAAAAAAATTACCAGAGCAGAAACACATTAGCAGGAAGTTCTGTGTGAACAAGTACAGGGGTAGAAAAACCTAAACTGTAATGGACAAATTGCAAGAGGCTCAGTTCACCTGAGAATTAAAGATTCCAAGGGGTCCCAGTCATAGGGGATGCTTTTAGGAGCTTTACCACCAGGAGGCCAACCAAGTTCTCATAGTAAAGATTGGAGAAAAATCCCCATTGTGCTTTTGGCAGAGGAGGGGAAGTCACTATTTTGAAATACACCTAGAGCAGTCATAACAAGGCATGCCCCAATAACCTACTGGGGTTTTATTAGCATCTAACTGACCTGTGGAAGAGAAATGCCCAACTCCAGCCCACTGTAGCCATCCTGTCCTACACTGGGGAAGGGGAACTGAAAACTAGTGGAAGTTCACAATCCAGTAGAACAGTTTCACTGAAAGACCAAAATTATAAATTTTATATGGAAAAGCAAAATATCCAGAATAGCCAACACAATAGTGAAGAAGAACAAAAGTGTAGGATTGGCAATACCCAGCCTCAAGACTTACGATAAAACTACAGTAACAGATAATGTATTTGTGAAAGAATAGACAAATAGGTCAATGGGGCAGATTAGAGAGCCAAGAAATAGACCCACTCAAATATACTAATTTTTTTTTTTTTTTTTTTAAAGATTTTATTTATTT